GTTGGGTTTTTGACATTTGCAACGAGAAACACATCAATTGGTGCTTTCAGAAAATTTGAATAAAACAAATACAATAGATAAGATTAATCATCTGCTGAGTATTAATGCCACTTACTGAGCACTTACTATTTGCCAGACCCTGTGCAATAAAGATAATTACTGGTGATTGGAATACAAAAGTTGGAAACAAAGAAGCATCAGTAGTTGTAAAATATGGCCCTGGTGATAGAAATGACACCAGAGATATGACAGAATTTTTTAAGACGGATGACTTACTCATAGCAAATTACCCTTTTTCAGTAACATAAATAGTGGCTATACACGGGGACCTCACCAGAATGAATACACAGGAATCAGATCGACTACTCTGTGCAAAGAGGCGATGGATAAATTCAGTATCTTCAGCCAAAACCAGGCCAGGAGCTGACTGTGGAACAGACCATCAATTGCTCATATGGAAGTCCCAAGTTGAAACTGAAGAAAATTAAAACAAGTCCACCAAAGACAAAATATAGCCTTGACTATAACCCACCTGAATTTAGAGACCATTTGAAGAACAGATTTGATGTACTGAACACCAATGACCGAAGACCAGACGAGTTGTGGGATGACATCAAGAACATCATACATGAAGAAAGCAAAAGGTCATTAAAAAGACAAGAAAGAAAGAAAAGACCAAAATGGATGTCAGAAGAGACTCTAAAACTTGCTCTTGAATGGCGAGTAGGTAAACTGAATTGAGGAGATGATGAAATAAAAGAGCTAAACAGACGATTTCAAAGGGCCACTAGAGAAGACTAAGTAAAGTATTAGAATGAAATGTGCAAAGACCTGGAGTTACAAAACCAAACAAGAACATACTCAACATTTCTCAAGTTGAAAGAACTGAAGAAAAAAATTCTAGCTTCAAGTTTCAGTACCAATGGATTCTATGGGTAAAATATTGAATGATGTAGGAAGCATCAAAAGATGGAAGTCATTGTACCAAAAAGATTTGTTGATGTTCAATCATTCAGGAGATAGCATATGATCAAGAAAGAACCAATGGCATTGAAGGAAGAAGTTGAAACTGTACTGAAGGAATTAGGGAAAAACAAGTCTCCAGGAACTGAAAGAAACCCACTGAGATGACCCAAAACAGATGCAACATTGGAGGAGCTTACTTGTTTATACCAAGAAATTCGAAAGGCAGACAACTGGCCAACTGACTGGAAAAATTTGGTATTTGTGTCTATTCTAAAGAAAGGTAGTCCAACAGAATATGGAAATCATCAAACAGTGTATCATTAACATCACCTGCCAGTAAATTTTGCTAAAGATAATTAAAAAATAGTTGCACGGGTATACTGAGAGAAAACTTCCAGAAATTTAGACTGTATTCAAAAGAGGATCTGCAATGAGGGTTATCATTGCTGATGTCAGATGAATTTTGGCTGAAAGAAAATCAGAAAAATGTTTACCTGTGTTTTATTGACTATGCAAAGGCATTCGACTGTGTGGATCATAACAAATTATAGATAACAATGCAAAGAAAGGAAATTCCAGAACACTTAATTGTGCTCATGAGGAACTTGTACACAGACCAAGAAAGAGGCTGTCGTTCACACAGAACAAGGGGATACTGCATGGTTTAAAATCAACGAAGGTGTGTGTCAGGGTTGTATCCTTTCACCATACTTATTCAATCTATATGCCAAGAACCACGACTATATGAAGAAGAACTCAGCATCAGGATTGGAGGAAGATTCATTAACAACCTCTGATATGCTGATGACACAACCTTACTTGCTAAAAAGTAAAGATGACCTGAACCATTTACTGACAAAGATCAAAGATTCAGCCTTCAGTGTGGATTACTCCTCAACATAAAGAAAACAAAAATCCTCACAACTGGGCCGATAAGCAACAAACATCATGATAAAAGGAGAAAAGACTGCGGTTGTCAGGGATTTCATTTTACTTGGGTCCACAATCAACACCCATGGAAGCAGAAGTCAAGAGATCAAACATAGTATTGCACTGCACAAATCTGTTACAAAAGACCTCTTGAAAGTGCTAAGGAGCAAAGATGTCACTTTGAAAACGAAGGTGCACCTGACCCAAGCCATGGTATCTTTAAATGCCTCACATGATGTGAGAGCCAGGCAACGAGTAAAAAGACTGAAGATGAGTAGATGCCTTTGAATTATGGTGTTATTAGCAAAGAATACCAAAAACACCACGGACTGCCAAAAGAATGAACAAATATATCCTGGAAGAAGTGCAGCAGGAACGCTTCTTAGAAGTGAGAATGGCCAGACTTCATCTCACCTACTTTGGTCATGTTGTCAGAAGGGACTGTCCCTGGAAAAGGGTATCATGCTTAGTACAGTAGAAGGTCAGCAAAAAACCCTCCATGAGATAGACACAGTGGCTGCAACAATGGGCTCAAGTATTGCAAGGATTCTGAGGACAGTGTAGGCCTAAACATTCTGTTGTACATGGGGTCACTATGGGTCAGATATGACACCATAGCACCTAATAACAATAACATGCTGTTAAGTGGTTTACAAATTTTATATTATATGCACTCCTTACCACAGCTCTGTGAATAAATGCTATTTTACAAAGGAGAAAAAGAGGTTAAATAAGTCCAAGGCCAAATGTCTAGGTACTGATCCATGTTTACTACTCAAAATTCATTCTGTTAACACAATTCTATGCCTACTCATCAACACAGCCACCAAGTGTTACTAAGTACGTATGTGGGAAGAATCAGACCAGGTAATAAGATTACAAAGATGAAGAAACGAATAGCTGTAAGACACTGTGCTAAACATAAATGATAATTTACATAATTTTAAGCAATTTTTAATAAACATGCAGCTAAGGAGATTTTGTAACCAAAACAGATATATTCAAAGGAACATACTTGAAAAGTGACTATAACTAAGAAATCTTGCATAATTATTTGAATTAAGAGTAATAATAACTGATAATTGCTATATAATCTGCACAGAGGCTAGTGAAAAAGAAGTAAGATGGCAGAAAGAACTTTTCAGTGTCTCTGCAGGGTATTTAGTAAGAGGATTTCCTTCTACAAATGACAAAGAGAATTCTAATCCATCTGTCAAACAATCCCTACACTGAAGATACCAGAACATCTTAATTTTGTGAAACTTTTATTAAATCCATTCAAACCAAATATTCTTCCTTTTGAGGCTGAACTCACTAAATAATTTAATGATGAAAACCATTCTGTGAAATTTTTTGCATAGAAATAAACTAATCAGCATTATCCCTTTGACAGCTTTATTTCTAATTGTGTGATTTACAGGATAACGTCACAGGGGTTTGGTTTGTATAAATAAGGTACCCTAAGTAGAGATGATTTCTGAGTATCCTGACAAAAGTGTAAATTCCTAATTCAAAGCTAAGGAAAGGCCCTATACCATTGCGACCCCTCAGAATCATCCTGTTAAATCTAGTCTGATCATCACACACAACCAAATTTTTCAAAAGGTGTAATTCATAAATCACGCCTTTTCCTGGGGGGGGGGGAGTATAATTGCTTTCTAAAATCATGCTAAATTTGGAAATGCCAAAACAGAATTTGAAACACTAAAAAGTTAGAGACTCATCATTTAAATATTCACTGCAGCTCATTTAAATATTCACTGCAGCGTATGACAACATATTAAAAGGTAATTAAAACTATCTTTTAGTGATCTGCCATTAAACTGAGATGTTTTTCTACTCAAGTTCTAAGTATAAAATTTCCCTAGTCAGGGACTACTATCATTCACAGCCATAATTTAAAAGAAATTTAATATAAAGAAACAAATGTCTTGCTTTCAGTTCTTCCTATCTTTGCAGAGTAAACTACTCAATGAAGGTACACTAACCATTACATCACATCAAAATAAAGATAACTTTTGAAATTCAGCTACAAAAATAAATATAAAAATCAGTGAATGATTTTATTTTATATACAATATGTATCAGTCACTCCATAGTCAATTCCTGTATGTTGCAGAAATTAACTTTAAAATGAGCATAAGCTGTTACAGGTATGTTAAACATTTTTGCTGTCATTAAAATTTATTGGCCTGTGGTGTTCCCCTGACTGCTTATGACCTGCTGATTGTCCCTGAAAGAATGGGCCTACTTAGAATATAAAGAAAGTTTTTAGAAGGAATGCTAAACAGAAAAGAAATGAAAGACTTTTACAACTGTAAAGGGCCCTGCATATGTAAAGCTGAAATGTGAAGAAAACAAATAAAAGAAATGAAAAAGATTTCTAGCTCTAGGTGATGTCACACTGCACATCATAAACACACAGACACATACAGACAACAGAGAGAGAGAGAGAGAGAGAGAGAAAGAGAGCATTCTTTCTAAAATCCATCCTTAGTAAATAATCTGAACAGGTTCTTTTTTTGAAAAAAAATCTTTTATTATCAGAAGTAAGCATTTATACTTCATCTTAGGACATAGGTTAAAATGATGAAAATTTATGTAAATTTTACCAAATTATTCTAGAAACACAGTTATCAAAGTACTCAATTTGAATAACTACTATCATAAGTCTCAGAAGCAAAGCGTTCTCTATCAGTTGTTGACTCAAGTTGAATTTAAAAAAAAAAAATTCCCACAAAACTTCCATGGTCATAAAATAATCTTTTTTAAAAAACTAAATTATAAAGAACAAAAAAGGGTATGTTCAAAGTATTAAAAATATGAAAAAAAAGAAATGAGGTTAAGATATTTTAAGTCACTTAAAAATAAAAAAAAAAAGCATTCACTTTTCTTCAGTTGTGGTTTTTTTTTTTTTGCTACTTCTAAGGGCAAAAAGCAGTGAACACATTTCTTCTTACAGAAATAACACAGGGTGCTGCTCTTTGATAAAGCAGTGAGCTTTACAATAGGCTCTTGCAGTCTGATCCCATTTCACATATTAAAATAACATTTTATTACTTCACAAGCACAAGGTTAGCTATGTAGCGTTACTTAAAACCCACCTTTTTCATTTTCTTTGTATCTACAAATGCCAACTGGAATCTCTGCTTGAAACATGGAGCCCACCATAATCTCCTATTTTAAAAATAACATAAAATATTAGTAAGATCTAATACAAATTTCATATCCATCTTCTAGGTTTACAATCTGTCTGGATAAACTGTTTCTGATTTCTTTGTCTTAAAATACAGATATAAGCAGTTAAATACCTCAAAGGAGTATTGTGAGGATGAATGAGTTAATAATAGATTAGTGCTTGAATATGATTGGCTGAAAATACTATTAACAATAATGGGGTGAGAAATACAATATAAACAATGGATACAATCTTTACCTTTAATAAATTACTTAAAAAAATGAGTAAGATAATTGTAAAATACACTGAGAAACAGAAAGACAATTCAGACAATTTTAGAATCCCTACATTCTAAAACAGTACTTCTTTTAATATACGGTCCTTGGACTAGAAGCATCAGTGTCACCTAGGAAATTGTTAGAAACGCAGATACCCAGACCTACTGAATCAGAAACTCTGCGAACCAGAGTATTGGTATAAAGGTTGGCAGGGGCCAGATAGATGAAACTCCAAAGCAAATGGAAAGCAGGTTAGTGCCTGACCTTCAATAAAATGATAAAAAAGTAACCTCCCCCCAAAAAAAAAAAAAAAAAACATAATTAAGTCTTGTTTTAGAAAATCTGGTAATCACATTTCTTCAGTCAAATCACAGATTAGGGGAAACTGGCTATTCAGAGGGCCACTGACAATAACTAATGAAATTTCACAACAGAGGACCACCAAAGGTACAGGTATTCACTTCTGTTTGGTGGCTAAGTGTTAAGAATAAACTTCCCAGCATTTTCAAAATAAAGATCTGGGCAACGAAGGTTCAAAGTCATGTCTAATATGTCTAAGTAATTATTAGGATTTAAAAATTCCTCTCTCCTATAGTGTAGTGTCTAAGGCATCTGACTGCTAACCAGAAGGCTGGAGGTTCAAACCCACCAGCCACTCCTCAGAAGGAAGGTTGGGCACTCTACTTCCATAGTGATATGCCTCGGAAATTCAAGGAGGAGTCACTATGAGTCAGATACGAATCGACGGCAGCGCATTGCGTTGTGCTGTTTCTCTCCTATTAAAAACTTGTTATTTTTTACTGATGTTAGAATATCATTTTATCTAATATAAATTCAGAAAGAGGCTTTATGGAATAGTGTTACATCTGTGTAACAAGGCTTTCTTACGGTTACTTTTCCAAAGAATATCACATACACAAATTTTCTCCAATCTTACATAAGAATTTTCCTTATGTCTCTAGCTGTAATTGTTTCACTATAAAAAGAGTGTTCCATTGTCACTTTATCACATGCCTTTATTACAATTCCTTCAACTTTACTCACCTATTCCTACCAGAGAAGATAGTGAAGTTATCAACCCTGGCTGGAGTGCTTCTAAAAATATCAATGCCTGGGTCCATTCCAGACCAAATAAATCAGAATTTCTAGAAGACGACCCTGGTAATTGGTTCTTTAACATGAAGCCAGGGTTGAGAACTTCAAGACTAGTATAAAGATAAGACACCTCCTTTTTCCTACAGAGTTCACAGCACTTCTTTTTTACTTACTAGTTCCTTCTGTAGGACAGGGGGAAAAAAATAGCATCTAATGAGCAAATACAGCAATGGGCTCTGTTTGGGGCTTTTTTTTAAAAAAGATTGGGCAATCTACTTCCGTAGTGATACTGCCTTGGAAACCCAAGGAGGGGTCGCTATGAGTCCAGGCCGACTCGAGGGCACTTAACAACAACAACAGATATAGGAGCTCTGGTGGTACAGTGGATTAAGGCATTTGGCTGCTAACCAAAAGGTTAGTGGTTTAAACCCACTAATCACTCTGCAGAAGAAAGATAAAGCAGTCTGCTTCCGTGAAGATTTACAGTCTTGGAAACCCAGTGGGAGTCACTATGAGTCAGAATCATCTTGATGGTAGTGAGTTTCTTTTTTTTTAGGTATCTTGTATGTAAATGTTATTAAACCCTTAGCAAACCCCAAAAGGCTAATATTATTATTGCCATATTATCTATGAGGAGCTGAAACTAAAGAAATTAAGTAATTTCCTCAGGACCACACAATTAGTAAAGTTTTGGAACTGTACCTTGAACTCAGGTTTGATATCAAAGTGGCTTCCTCTACCCTAGTTTCTCTAAAAATTAAATTTCATCTTGTAAGCCTTAGAAAATGAATCTCTGAATCTTGAGAAGTATTTACTACAATACAACAAAATAAAAAAAATAAAATATGGATTTTCTGTGGTCTGCTTTATTACAAAATTTTTCTCAGGAAAGGACTACTAGCACTCAGCAAAGGCTATTTCACCTTCCCTGAGCTTTTGTTCCTTCATTAAAAAAAAAAATATATAGTAAACACTTAATCAAATACTCTATTGGGCACTCCCAATACAAGAAAAAAAAAATTCTGGATAACAAATATATAAACTTGAATTTACGGTGGAAAATAGCAGTTTAAGAGGACTCTCAAAGTTTTCTACCTTTTGTTTTCCCCCCATCTTAGCGCTACATGGCATAAAAATTAGGGAGGGGTACTAGATTGAAAAATCAGAAAGACTATATTGAATAACATTTGCCAATTAGTAACTTTAGTGATATTTGTTTGCTGTGTTCAGTCCCATCATTCATTCATTCCTCACTCACTCAAATTAACACACACTGCATATATTGTGCTAATTTTCCGTTAGCATTGACCCACATTGAGATCTTTCTCTTCTTCCTGCTATAGCTCTTTTTGCTGGTTTCATTCAATTTGACATTTAATAACGCATCCACTCATGTTACATTTACATAATTTCTTTCAAAGGATGTCCCTTTATTCCCTCAGCAAACATGAGCTTCTGGAGAAAAGAAACCTGTCTCTTAATAACTATGTAAACAACAGATGATGAGTCACTTGCTGAATATAGAAAATTATGCTTCCTAAATCTTTAGACTTCAGTAACTAATTATTAAAAGTTATCTGGCATCTATATCTTTATTAGGGAACACAAGGCAAATGTGTATCAGAAACATATCTCTATAAACACATAAACAGATCAATTCAAGGTTAAGCCCTGAATCTTTGGGTAGTCAAGACTTCATTTGAATACGTCCTTCTTCCAAATAGAAACTTGAGTATAAGATGATCCTTCATTTTAATCAGCAAAAGAGCCAGCACTTTAAGATTGCCCCAGACATCCTAAAACACACAATTTAAACCGACCAGAAAAATACCACAAGTAAGGCTCAAAAGTATTAGTTAAATAATTAAACATCATGACTTATATAAAAGATGCTAGGAAATACACAATCCCCATTGAATCTGATGGTTTGGGATATTCTGCTTCCAAAATGATTGTTTATACGTAAATTTAAAATTGGACCTAAGAAAAATAACCAAAACTTTAAAGAAAAGTTTTTAAGAGAAAAATAATCTATTAAAAAAATGACATTTCTTCTAAATTATTTGCTTTAATCAATTCTACATTTCTTTTTGTCTTAGTTGACAAAAGGTACTTTATTAATTTTGTTTTCTACTCTTTTCACAACCTAGTGAATATTAATTTTGTTTCCTATTTTTTTGCACAACCCAATGAAAATAGAAAAGGTTACACTGGTTGTATAGGTTGATTGGCATTCACCCTCCATTTCTGCTTTATCAATGTTGACATTCTATACTGGAGAGCTTGGAAAGCTAAAAAGAGTACATCTCCCAGACTGCTGTGCAGCAAAGAATCTTGATGCAAATAAAATTAACTATTAGATAAACTCTGAGATTGAGAAAGCAGGGTACTTGGATATTTTCTGCTAGCAAGGAAGACTGTGGACCCAGTTTTTCTGTAGCAGTGTTATAAAGTCTAGCCTCTACTTTGTTAAAAATTAATAATTTATTTTTCGTTGTTGAGAAGTCTATAAGATATTTTGATAGATTTTCCTGAAAGGTCAATAACTCCTTTACAGAAACTTAAAATTAATTTTTCATTTAAAAATTTTTCAATTTAATTTTATGTTTGAATAAATGATGCTATATAATTTTATAATTTAAAAATTTATTAATAAATTATCTTTAGTTTAAGATTTTATTTTTATTCTACAGAAAAATAAATATATACATATACACACACACACATACATACATACATATATAGACACCACTCATCAAACAATGTATTTGCCTGCTTTAAGACCCATGATAATCATGTTTCCTTCCTATATCACTTTTGAACACATTGGAATTTTTCTAAGCATTAAGTTTTCCTGATTTCCAACAACTTTTTCATATTACTCTTACATGATCAACTCTTAATGCACTTTTTCTTGAATATTTTATTATTTTTAGATGAAAGTTTACACAGTGAATTAGGTTTTCATTAACAATTTTAGTACAAATTGTTCTGTGACATTGGTTCACCCTGTATCAACATTCTCATTTCCCTTCTGTTTGTTCTGTTTGCATTGATCTAGCTTCCCTTCCCCTCCTTGCTTTCTCATCTTTGCTTTTGGGTAAATGTTGTCTCATGTAGTTAACTGTTTAAGGGACATATTACTCTTGAGTGATACTTTTTATTTTATAATCCAATCTATTGTTTAGCTGAAAGGTGACCTCCAGGAGTGGTTGCAGTTCTAGGTTAAAAGGTTATCTTAGGGTGACAGTCTCGGGTGTTCCTCCAGTCACTATCAGTCCAGTAAGTCTGGTCTTTTTTACGAATTTGAGCTTTTCTCCCATTGTAACCAGGAGCTTCTACTGTGTCCCAGGTCAGAACAACTGGTAGTGGTAACGGCACCATCTAGTTCTTCTGGTCTCAGGTTAGAATAAGCCACAGACTGTGTGGACTTTTAGTCCAATGGATTAGTTTCTTCTTTTAGTCTTTGGTTTCTTTCATTCTTTTTCACTCCAGACAAGTAGAGACCTCAGTTCTATCTTAGATGTCTGGCTAAAAGCTTTTAACTAGTCACCAAAGTAGACTGTAGAACATTAACCTTATGAACTATGCTACACCAATTTACTAAGTTATCCCATGAAGCTATGGTTCTAAGCCTTTCAACCCAGTAAACCAATTCCATGATTTGTTTGGGTAGGTCTAGGAAATCTCTGTAACTGTGCTCCCTAGATACTTTATCTATGGATACATATGCACAACACACAAACATGTATTTACATATGCTGACAGATGGTGGTGCATATGGTTATCAACTGCTAAACAAAAGGTCAGCAGTTAGAAACCACCAGCTGCTCTACAGGAGAAAGATGAGGCAGTTAGCTTCTATAAAGATTTACAACCTTGGAAATTCTACAGGGCAGTTCTACTCTGTACTACAGAGTCAACTATAGTTGCAATCAACTTGATGCCAATGGGTTTGGACTTTTCCATTGGTTATCAAAAAACCTAATCAAAGCCACTGTCAATGAGTCTGGTTCTGATTCATAGCAACCCCCACTGATCTGATTTCCAAGTTGATAAACTTTACGGAAGTAAATTGTCTCATCTTCCTTCCATGGAGCAGCTAGTGGGTTTGAACTACTAACCTTCTGATTAGCAGTTAAATGACTTTGGCACCATGCCACCAGAGCTCCTTTTTGTTGGTATAGATAATACCTATATATCTATATGTGACATATTCTCATGCCTTCCTTAGAAATATATGCATACACTTTTACCTATGTAACCATATACATACTTTTTGGTTATTACTATTGTTGCAAAAATTGAATACATTATATATAACATTTGGAGGGTCAACGAAAGAGAAGAAGGCCCTCAATGACATGGATTGACACAGTGGCTGCAACAGTGGGCTCAGGTATAGCAAGGATTGTGGAGCTGGTGTGGGACTGGGCAGTGTTATGTTCTGCTGTGCATGAAGTCGCTATGAGTCAGAGACAACTCAACAGCTATTAACAACAACAACAACATATATAACATTTATCAAGTTGTCTCTTTTTCTTATGTAGTTCTCAGTGCTTTCATTTACTTTGGTCAAACTGTGTGGACTTTACTTTTATTTGGTATTGTCTTTACCATCATTAAAAAAAAAAAAAAGAGTGTGTTATTTAGAAAGTGATTCCCCTTCCTCCTCTTCCTCCCATCCCTGGTTAACCATAACAAAGAACATTTCTTTTTGTGTATACCCATCTATTCTCAACTTTTTATAATAGTGAGATTATATAATATTTGTAACTGACTTGTTTCACTCACCATAGTGTCTTCCGGATTTATCCATGTTATGACATGTTTTGTAGATAGATTTATTTTAAACAGTAACTTAATTATGTACAGTTACAGAGAAGGCCAAATCTGTCTGTTGAAGCAATGTATTTATCAGTTATACATATCAACGTTAAATTCATTCTGAGAATTTTGCCCTTTACAAAGTAGGAAGGGTTAAAAAAATTGGTAATCTAAATTATAAAGCAAAATTTACTTAACAATTATTGAAGGCACCACAATTATTTTCCAAAACATAAAAATTACATGTCAGGCTTGTGACAGGGCCACAAAAAGTCTCCTCTAGCACTAGTTCAGAAATTTGGCTTTCTAATCTTGGTTGGAGTACTGGTTTGATTCTTTCCATACAATGATTTTATTATATGAAGAGATAAATACTTCTCTCACCTGGATGAATTAAAAGGAAGTGTAAACATTTACCAAGTACTTATATTTTATAAAAAACTTACCACCAACTTTATTAATATATATACCTTATTAATATTATATAATAATATAAAGAATAACTATTCTTGGCATTTTTACATTAATTTATCTAAGTTTGGGGGAAATATGGTTCAAATTACCTTTTTCCAGTCTTCTGATGGAATATAATCTTCATCTTCTTCAGATTCTTCCTCAATTTCACTATCTAGAATAAACAAGACAATAGTGTAAAATGCTTATCCTATGCACCTCTATATGTCTGTATATTATTTTTACATCTACCATCAAATATTCAGATACACTCAAAGGTATTTTCAGAGTTAGGCCACATAGGCAAAGATGTTGTTGTTGTTGTTGTTATGTGCCGTCGAATCGGCCCCGACTCATAGTTGTAAGCAAATCATCAATATCCTAATGATAATACATCCTTAATCAATATATTAATAGAAGAAACAGTGGATTTCAAAAAGTGCTCCTTGAAACACTATGGAATTTGTAGCACCACTTTGGGGGCAGCATGCAAAGGGAAGGGGTATATTTTAAAGATTTCCATTCTCCCCAACCTCTCTTGAAATCAGAGCAGGAAAGCTGCTGTTTATATTTTGGAATAAAAATGCATTTATATAAATGAGTGGGAAATGTGAAAGCTATTAGACACTCAGCACCCTAAAATTCTATCATTGCACACAAACTTTGAAAAGACAGTACAATAGAAATTAATTCTATGGAAAAGTTAAGTATTATATGTATAACTTCCATGCAAACCACTGTAACGGAAATACTAGATTAGCAATATGAAATAAAGATAGCTTCAAAAAGATAAAGTAGTCACTTAGCATCCCATTTTAGTTAAAACGCAGAAGCAAATTTTGGCAATGGATTTCTTTTACAGAAAAAAATAGCACTAGTTTAGCCCCAAAGTCAAAATTAAACACAATTATTTCAGTAACTAATCACTCTTTGCATAAAGACATTTTTCACTTGAACCAGATCTTTGATCAAAACCTGCACAAAACTATCATTAGCAGCACTACATTCACTTCTAAACTAAATATGTAACAAATCATGCCTGCAGAGCAGGAGCCATGCTTTAATCAGTCATTACATAAAGGTATTTTATGAGAGGTAATTTATCTTCAGCATTTTTCCACCTTTTAATGAATAAAAAAGACTATAAATTTAAATAACAGTTTGTTTGACCTGTTATTATAAAAGAGCTGTCTTCTAGATAACAATTCATGCTTAGAATGAAATATGGTAGAACAGGTAGAAAAACGAAATATTTAAGATACATACATTAAATGTCTTGACTTCTGGCCACCTCAGACAAAATTTTTAACTGTAAAAAAATTAGAGGAGTTCCCTCTATGTATAATGTATTCTCACTTCAATCAAGAGCCACTGATTAGAGAAAGCAATGGTTATGAATACACCTAGAATGTCTAAGAGGGAAAGATGAAAACTGAAGCAAAGAGTAGCAGAAATAAGAAAGATGACTATGAAACAAATGGGAGCTCCGGTAACGTAGTGCCTAAGGCACTTGTGCTAACCAGAAGGTTGGCGGTTCAAATCCACCAGCCATTCCTTGGAAGGAAGATGGGGCAATCTACTTCTGTAGTGACACTGCCTCAGAAACCCAAGGAGGGGTCACTATGAGTCAGGTCTGACTCGATGCCACATAACAAGAATAACAATGAAACAAACATTTAAAATAGCATCCTGGGCCTGGAATAAAACTCACCCCCAAGGGCTGGCTCTCAGCCCAATAGTAAATAACATGTACACACAGACCACTCAACCCAGGGTGACTCACCCCCATACTCTAGGGAGATACATCCCTTGTAGCAATCAGCCACGGGGCACCAGAGAGGCAACATTTACACAGAGAAAAAGCAGAACACACAGGAGGGCATGACTATGAAGGGAAAGGGGGATGGTTACTAGGAAAGGAGAGGAGGAGAGTGGGTTAGAGTTGGGTAACTGTGGAGTAAAACCTAATGTACACGAAATGCTCAATGTAAAACAAATTCTGCTCAGTAAATGTGCACCTAAAGCACAATTAAAAAAAAAAAGGGGGTAACAACTGGCAGCACGACAAAATAAAATAGGGTCCTATGGTATAGTGCCCAAGGCATTTGCCTGCTAACCAGAAATCTGGCAGTTCAAACCCACCAGCTACTCCTCAGAAGGAAGACTGGGCAATCTACTTCCATAGAGATAATATCTCAGAAACCCAAGGAGGGGTCGCTATCAGTCGAATCGACTCAACGCCAGTGAGTTTGGTGTTTTTTGTTTTTTTTTTTTGGTTTTTTGGGGAAAAAAAACCTGAAGTCAAGTAGTGCAGTGATACAACAACTACTACCCCATGTTCAACTAACATCCAGGCCAAATGAACCAATAGCCTAGAACAAAATCACTTTCTTATTGAGAGATTAAAGAGTACATGAATTCAAACAGGGTAGTGGGAAAAAAAGCAACAGCATTTTTGGGCATGAACAAAATAGGACACACTATATTCAAACTACAGCAATCAATGGCACTTACTTGTATCAAAATATTTACATCGACGTGGGCGGATAATTTCCTGGGCATCTTGAGAAGCAACAGATTGTGACGGGTCATCATTGGAAGACTGAGTTTCATCCTCTTGACCTGACGAATCCTTTATATTCTCTTCCTGTAGAATAATGAGTTAATAAATTTCTTTAAGATATGAACAAAACTAGTGCAGATGAAGGGTTACAGTGTACAAACTTTATTCCAAATAAAATGAGACGACTAAAATGAAAATGTAACATGATATTTTGGATGAGATCCTGGAAGAGGAAAAATGTTACTTACGAAAAAACTGGTGAAATCTAAATAATCTATGGTTTAGTTAACAGTATTGATTTCTTAATTTTGACCAAATTTCCATGACTATATAAGATGTTAACATTACAAGAAAATGGGTGAAGAGCATAGGAACTCTGTGTACTTTTTTTACAACTCTTCTGTAAACCTCAAGTTATTTCAAAATAAAGAAAAGTAAACAGACGTACAAATTAGCCTTTATTAATTAAAAACAAGAGCATATTTTAAAAATTAATATAAATTATTTGTTAGAGGCATTGGAAAGAAATCTAAAACAAAAGAAGCCAAACCATTACCCCTCAGGAATAGGATTATAAGAAACTTACAATTTTTATATTACATATTTCTTTAATACCTTAATTTTTAACATTTAAATCTGTTACTTTTAAAATCAGAAAAAGACAGATTATAAAATCAGTGTAAATAAATATGTAAGTTATAACTTCAGTGAGAAAAAAAAAAAAACTAAATTTACTTTATTTTCCCCACTACAGCCACTGTTGTCGTCATTATCAGCATCTTCATCATCTTCAACTTCTTCCTCTTCTTCCTCTTCCTCCTCATCTTCTTCAGGTAGTCGAACAGTACTATCGTAACCATAAAGGCTGAGAAGTTCATGAATTGGCATGTCGCCTTCCTAAACAAACCAAAATAAAAAGTCAAATTTCTGAATCAGTGATATTTCTTATTTCTAGGTTGTAAATCGCAGATCTATAGAAATGTCATTCCACACACGAGTACTTAAAATTAGTAAATTATAAGACTTCTTAAATTATAACAAGTAAAACTGAAAATAGTTTTAAAACCTGTAATACCAGTTTTTAATTATTTAATTTTATGCATTTCTATGATAAAGGGCTGACCAATTCTAACCTTAACAAAAAATCATTAACTACAACAAAATGTGACACTGGCTGAAAACTACTTTTTTGCATAGTTGACTCAGTATATGTATATTATTAGTTAACACAATGTACAGATGCCCCCATTTAACAAGAGAACCAACCTTAATTGAGGAAGGGGGTAGAATACTTAGAAAACCAACAGACTTAAGGTTATGCAAAATGAACAAATCCAGAAAGATGATGAAATTCACAGCCCAGACCAAGCACATTTAAAAAAAAAAAAAGCAATGATATACAGGATACTAGATTACATTACCCATAATTATTTTCTAGGTTTATTTCCAATTACATGGAAAATCACCTCACATAATCCTTAGATGCTACTTTACGGAATTGTTATACTATCTCTGTAGATGATGAAACTGAGGCTGGAAGATTAAACAATTTATTCAAAAACATACAAGTTGCAATTAGTGGGACCAGATTTGAACACTCTAACTCCCAAACCCATACTCTTATCAGTATATCATGCTGCCTCAGCCAGGGACAGCACCCCTTAACCCTCTCCCTTCCAATTCACACCCTGTAAATATGATATGAGGAAATATCTATATGCAGTGAATGAAAATGTCTTTCTGTATAAGGTACTAACTCTAAACAGTAATCAAATGACATAAAATTTAGGGAACCATGACAGAATTCTGATTATAAACAAGAAAATTTAATCCAAATCATCTGAGCACTATACTGAGCACCTAACATGTAAGAAAAACATAAAGGAGAGTCAGTTTAAAATCTAGAAAAAGGGTAATTACAAAGCAAGGCATGTTTTGTATTTCTCCACAAATCTGTACTCTTATTTACGGCCAGAAAGAAATCTAGTTCGTAAGTTAAGTATGTTGATACAGTGGAGATAGGTACACATCAGGCTGAATGATACTGCTTGATGACAATAGCCACTTAAGTCATACAATTAATCTCCTCACTGAGAATCTGTGTGCAAGAAGCAATCTAATGATTACAGCTTGGAAAGCAGATTTTCTTGTAGGAAGAAAATGTTGTTTAACACTTTTATTTGATACTATAAACAGATATTCTGACTATAAATTAGTTTGTAAATCTGTTTCTGAAAAAGAAATCAATCAAGAGCTCTAATGACTTGCAGAGTCTACAATCTGAAAAGTCCTACTTTTCAAAGGCAAACTATTACCATGCTAGCTGAATGACTAGCTGGCACACTTAATTGACATTTCTTATCTTGTGGTTCTCAAAGTACAACACAAGCTATGCTTGAGGTGTCAATAATCTGGGCCATGTCTTGGTTTAAGAGATGGAGATTTGGAAATGAGGAATCCTTATGAATAAAATGCAACTTTGAGTAAGAGAAAGAGATTGAAAAGGCCAATTTTATACACAAGATTAACAGTAAGCATCTTCTTTATGCTAAGTCCCATGCGATGCTGTCACTACTAATATGGGACCCCTTTGAGAATAGTGCTCTAATCTCACAGGTCTAAGGATAAGAAACCTGTAAATCAGCCTCACCAGTGGGAAATAATAAATCATGATCATCTTTAATGAAGCTTATCACCAGCATCTACCTCAGTTATTTGCCTAAAGGATAGGTGACATTCTAACTTCATGGAAAGAAAAAAAATTAACTATTATCAAGAATGCAGAATACGTGACATCCATCATTAGACTACGGTTTTTCCCTCCTGGGTACACATTGCTGAATTTAGGATACAAAAGCATAATTCACTTTCTAAAGATTCCTTTCATAAAATAAAAATTCAGAAACACCTCCAAACTGACCAGCCAGAGAAAAGTGTTACAAGTGGCTGGTCAGAGTACATTTTAAAGAAAACTGCTCGAGTTTAAAGAAACAGCAATAGAACTGGCACAAAGAGAAGTCATTCAAGTCTGAAGAAATGACAAATGCACAAGTACAGAAACAAAAAGGATTAAGCAGCTCATCCTGACTAGAGCTGAAGGTGTCTAAAAAAAGAAATATAGTTTGAGAACGCCACTCATTACGGATCATAGAAAGTTAACATTAGCATTTTTATCTACTTTATAACCTAATTTTAAAGGTATTTGTTATACTCTAGTTTTGATAAAGGAACTCTAATGGTACAGCAGTTAAAAGTATTTGGCTGCTAACCCAAAGGTCAGTGGTTCAAATCCACCTGCTGCTCTGCAGGAAAAAGATGACGCTTCCATAAAGATTTACAGCCTCTGGGGCCACTGTACTCTGTCCTACAAGTTGATTCATAATCAACTTGATGGCAGTTCGTTTCTGTTTTGGGTTTATTTTTTATTCTTGTGTGTGACACTGTGGAAGGGTTTGGGGAAAATTTTACACAAAACGAGCAGCTCAACGTGGACTTATGCAGGGAGAGATATACTTTGCCAATGTGACTGAGCTAAGTGGGAATCTCTCATGATTCATGTGTAATATGATCAGAAGCTAAACTATATTAGTGGTTGTGGAAAAGGAGAGAAAAAACTGAAGAGACCTGCAGAAGAAATCAACAGAATTTAAACATGGCTTAGGAGTAATGGAAAGGTGGTGACACTCAATCCCTAGTCCCAGGCACTCCTTAGACTGTGACACACATTCACATGCCTTCTAATAAAGTTTCCTTTTGGTTAAAGTTAGTTTCTGGTGCGTTCCATCATGTGGAAGTAAAATACCTTCAATTATTATATTAAGAACAGTAATATCATGCTTTTGGCTTTTTTTAGGTACTGGCTTTTGACTTAACCTCTATCACCCAAAACTTACCCCCTTGTCAGTCAGCAACAACAACAAAAAAAACAATTATAATCACTAAGGAACAAAATAGTTGACATCCTTACCTTAATATGAAACTTATCTTACTTGACCTAAGCTGCTAAGTAAAGATTTTGTAGCAAACACTGGGGTACAATAAAAACCAAAATCAATTTGGCTAAGGAATTCTCAGTTTCAAATTTTAGTGAAAAATTTCAAGGTTTAGTAAGCATAAACAAGTTTTGTTTTGCTGCATAAACAAGTAAACCAAACCAAAACCAAACGCACTGCCATTAAGTCAGATCCAACTCCTAGCGACCCCTCCTTGGGTTTCTGAGGCGAGAGCATTACGGAAGTAGATTGCCCAACCTTCCTTCCGAGGAGTGGCTGGTGGGTTTCAACTGCCAGCCTTCTGGTTAGCAGTCACATGCCTTAGGCACTATGCCACCAGGGCTCATAAACATAAACAAGTAAGGAATATTATTATCTGCTCCTTCTGTACTCATCTTTCAGGAAATGATCCTTCCCCTATTCCAAGCACATATTTTGACTGAAAGCTGACATACTCTCCCAGATCTAGCCTCACTGGCCACAACATCTGACCCAATTGGAATCACAACATTCCTTGGCAATAGGTTTAGAGTGGACACATGAACCAAGATTAGCCATAGTTGGTTTCCAGAATTTTACCAAAAGCAGTTAAAGAAACAGACTGTCTCAGCAATTTGGGGGCCTGGGAACTGAACTGACAAAGGAGCTCTGGTGGCATAATGATTAAAGGATTCAGCTGCTAACCAAAAAGTCAGTGGTTCAAACCCAACAACCAGTCAGTTTGCTTCTTTAAAGACTTACAGTGGTGGAAACCCTATGGGCAGTTCTACTGTCATAAAGAGTTGCTTTGAATTGGAATCAACTTGACAGTAGTGGGTTTAGTTTTGGGGAACTGACAGCATCATATCAGATAAGGTGGTCTAAGAAAATGAAGTCATCGTATAGAAAGGGGGAAACAGAGTATTATGTTCTGATGCCACTTTGGTCCCTAAGGCCTAGGTATATCCATTCTTCATGAAATCATGTAAACTATACATTACTTTTTACTTTGCCTAACCTAGTTCAAGATGGATTTCTGTCCTATGAACCCCAAAATCCTGATTGATATAAACAGTTAATGATATTCTGTGATGGAAATGTTACTATTTCCCTCTGAAAAATAAAACCCCTGAATAAAACTTGGCCAACAGTACATTATTATAATTGAGCCACTATCAATCACCTGTACCAGAGAATCTTCCACCAGCTTATACTAAGTTTTCATTCTATGAAGTGGCACAGTATTTTATTCTTACTCATGACAGTATTAAGAGTACAGAATTACAGGTCAAATACAGTTTAGACTTCACCATTTTTGGGTCATGGATGTCTTTGAGAATTTTATGAATGATAAAACTACTAAGATTTACTGACTACTTATTGTGTGCCAGATTTTGTGCTGTTTTACATATATTATTCTCTTAAGAACTATAGAAGCTTAATGAAGTAATTTGTTCAAAGTCACACAAGAAATTAAGTAGTGCAACAGAATTTTGAACCCAGGCCACTGACTCACCACTTTACACTGCCCCATCACACATATATTCTGCCTTCCTGGAAACCCGATCAGGGTACGTGTATTCATTGTGTTATAGTGTGAAATAAGATGCCTAAGGTGCTTGACTGCTAACCAGAAGGCTGGCAGTTCAAACCCACCAGCCATTCCTCGGAAGGAAGATGGGGCAATCTACTTCCGTAGTGATACTGCCTCAGCAACCTAAGGAGGGGTCCCTATATGAGTTGGAGCTGACTCGACGGCACATAAAAACAACAACAACAGGGTGCTAGACTATGAGGAAGAAAGAAAATGCACATTTTACAAGATGAGTAAAAACACAGAAATGTGGACTATGTTTGAATACTGCACACTAAGAAATAAGCTATACATGGCACTAAGCAAAAAAAGGGGGAGGGCATTCATGCCTG